TAATATAATTGTATTATTGTAATTTGATTAATTATTGTTTTTTTTAGTATGTAGTATATTATAATGATTATTTTTCTTTTTTGGCAAACAATGGCATCTTCGTCGTCCTCACAACTGCAGCGCTTCAATGTACATCCCGGTCCGAGAGATCCGTCCGTTCTATATCTTCAGTACTGCCACCGGTCGAGTGATTTGTTCGAAGATATAGGCGGATGTCGTGACGGCGTCATTAAACCCCGCCGTTTCGACACTCAGTTCTGGAAGGCGTTGGATCACCAGCATCCCAGAGTTTGGGATGCCATCGAGAGGATGGGGTTTGGCCCGCTATTTCGAATGGGCAGAGTCATGACCGACAACAGCCTCGTCACGTGTCTAGTGGAAAGGTGGCGACCGGAGACGCATACCTTCCACTTTGACTTCGGGGAGGTCACCATCACGCTGCAGGACGTACAAGTCCTTTTTGGTCTCCCGATCGATGGAGAGCCTTGTTGGGGAGCGACTCAAGATAACACGCCCCTTAAATGGCAAGAAATTTGTAATGCTGAGCTAGGGTTCAAGCCCTATGTTCAGGTAAATTTTTTCTTACATTTTTTTTTTTAATTTATTTATGTTTACTCCATTCACTAATTTTTAATAATATAAACCACTCTCAGAATGCCGAGGAACCGGTTCAATACCCCAGGACTTGGGCCATTACAGGCCAGTATTTGAAGGCCTATGCGTTAGAAGAGGAGTGCAACCGACATCTAGCCGATGGAGAGCAGTGCTTCACCTACGAGGCGAGGGCGAAGGCCCTTATACTGTGGTGCATCGGTTGCTTCTTCTTCCCCGACCAGAGGGGCAATGGAGTGAACCTCTACTGGTTGCAGCTTTTGCACGACATCGATACGATCAAGTCGTACAGCTGGGGTTCGGCAGTCCTGGCCGGAGTGTATAGAGCGCTCTGCACGAGCGCCAAGTCCGGGGAAAACTGGATCAAGAACTGTGTCCAACTCATTCAGGTAAATTTATTTGCTTGTTATTTCAAAATTCATTTTTTTTTTCCTAATTTAGACTAATATCTAATAACAAATGAATATGTCGATATGTGTAGGTTTGGGCATATGAACGTATCCCTCGTATTCGGCCAAGAATGAGGGATACAAACTTTGAGAGAGTTCCTGGTTGTCCCCTAGGTGGAAGGTAATAAAATTTATTTATATTTAATATTTACATTATTTTCACTATTAAATTTTGTGATTACAATTCTTTTTTTTACTGTGATTTTTAAGGTGGGTGGGAAGGAGGAGCACAACACACCTGGGCAAGGGAACAACCACCACCCGGGATCAACTGACAGGGCTCACAGAGACGGATGTAAGATTATTATTATTATTTTTATTTGTTGTTTGTTTTAATTCTTTTATAACTTAATTCCTAATTAATTTTTATTTTTTATTTTTTATTTTTCAGTTCGAATGGCTACCTGTTGTAATAATTTTTACCGGAGTAGAATCACAAGATTCGAACACCGGGTTGTATCTCACGAGGAAGGTTAGCCGGAATACTTAGTACGTTTATTCAAGCACAGATAAAAGAAATAAAATTCCTAAACATTCTAATTCAGATGATTTGGTTTGATTATCAACTACGTAAAACTTCAAATTAAGCAAATAGAAATAGCAAAGCAAAGACGATGAACAAGCAATATTAAAGAAGCTAGGGAGTCGGGGATATTCGTTTTGGCTCGAATTGCAACTATCGGGCCAGTGATCGTTCAGTTAAATGATTCGAATAATTCACTCGTTCAGATATTTATCCTCAATAACTCTTCGTAACAAGAGGACAGACGTGAACGGCAAATTAACGGGTCATTTAACACATACGCAATACCGTTACGAACAAGCCTAGTTTATACGAGCCTATTTCTATCGACTCCTCCCCTTTCGGTTCTAAAAGTCGATTGAATTGAACTAGAAGGTGTTTAACCAACTAGTCCGTTTAGCATTAACAACATCATGCAAGAACGAATCAAAGTCAATCGAAATCAATTGGAAATTGAAGTGTCACCCTTCAACAATTCTCAACTTTCAAGTATGATAATTGAAACCCTATTTAAGAACAACTCGCACAAATTGAACGATCAATGAATCCCAACAATCACATACGAATCCAAAACATTAATCCCCTATCCCTAGCTTACGGATTTAGCTACTCATCATAGATTCAACATCAACATACACATCAATCCAAGCCATCATAATCATAGATAAAACAAAGAAAGAAAGCTTACGACTAAATATGAATCCAATGTCGAAAAGCAATGAACAATCCAAATCCTAAAGCTTACTCTTGGTGTTTTCACATTCCAAGATCAATTCCAAGTGAAAGATAAGAGAAAACTGAGTTCTGGGGTGAAAAAGTACGAGAGAATGATAAAACCTAGAAAGAACATCCTTAAAAACTTATCAAAAATCCGAAATAAAAATCTGCTCGTCGCGACTCCCGCGGCCGCGACTTCCTCCTCCGCGGCCGCGGTGAAGAAATCCCGCGGCCGCGACCATCTCCGAGGCCGCGAGCTCGACTGGCCAAAAATGGGACGTTCTAAGGCGTTTTGGGACTCTCGCGGCCGCGAGATTTCTTCACCGCGGCCGCGGTGAAGGATTTCCTGCACAGCCAAAAAATGTTCTCGGGTTCGTTTGAGCTCGTTTCAACTCGGAATTCGATTCCGCTTTTTTCTGTGTATTCCCAACGAACTCCTCTATTTGATTAGGCTTGCCCAGCTAGTATTTTTTCGAACTCCTGTTCTCCCGAGACTTCCGACCTAAACACCATAAGCAAACAAAAACCAAAAAAATACACGGAAAACACACGAAAGACTAAAATAGAGCGAACCACGAAATAAATTACAAAACGAACTAAAAACCAACTAAAAGATCTAATATGGGGGAAAAAGAAAGACAAAAAGACAACGAGAAACGCAACAAAAATAGGACAAACACTACCCTATCAGTGGCACCTGCAAATGAATGCTCTCCCGGCCCAGTGTACAGAAGGTTCACACCTCTGGATGTATAAGGGGTGGATCTTCAACTGGAACGTCCGTGAAGTCCACATGCCTGATAGGGTCCTCCGTCAGTTCGGGTGTCGGCAGTCCACACCTGAACCTCCTATCATTCCGACTGAGACCGAATATTAGAGACACAATCGAGACCAGGGAATGACCGGGAGGGCAGTTTTTTACTGGGTGGCCTTTCACGGAGAACTTGGGAATGCTTGGGTCGAACATAGAGACGAAAATGTCATCCCAGCATTCCCTTTGGAGCCATTCATTGACCCCGAGGGGGGTTACCTTGATTGGTTTCACAGTATCACTGTGAGACTACTCGGTGACCCTGCCAAGTACGTGGTGGCCCAACCGGACAGAGGCTTTCACCCACTTACCGAGCAGGGGCAGTGCGACGTAAGTAATATATATTTCTATTTTTTATTCTATTATTATTATTATTATTATTATTATTATTATTATTATTATTATTATTATTATTATTATTATTATTTTATTTTTATTTTTTGTTTGTGTTTCATTCTAATTGACTTTGAATTTATTTTTCAGGCTACCGTCATGGAGGGAGCTTATCACACGTTAACGAATGTTGACCACCTCTTTCGTACACTCCCTCCAGAGGTGCAGGCCGCAGTCTTACAGGCCAAGAGCCTTCTCTACAGTTCTATGACTGTCAGAGGCTGAGATGTCGCACAAGGGCCGTCGTCGAGCCAAGTTCTAACGGAGGAGAGCTACGTCCGATCCCAGAGGACGCAGTCACACCGGGCGAGGCATCGACCTGCTGCCAACATTGGTGGAGGTAGAAGACGACGCGACCGCCAACCCGATGCCGACACCGGGCCTCAGCAAGAGGAAGAAGGTGAAAAATTTTAACTTAACAAAAAAATAACTTTATTTATTTTATTTATTTAGTTATAGTGATTTTTAAAAAAATTATTTATTCAGGTGAAGAAGAACAAGAACAAGAAGAAGAAGAACCAGTCACGCATACAGCATCGTCTTCTTCACGACGACCAGAACGTCGGATCAGCCAACGACAACGCAATCCTACGAATCGATACACTCCGAATTAGTTTGTATTGTATTCAGGGAATTTTGTGAACATATTTGTTAATTTTATTTTCATTTTGTATACTCATATTTGTGTTTTGAATAAATTATTGTCGTGGAGTTTTTGTATATACTGTATGTTGGATTATTTTGGGTGAATTGATTCATATTAGTTGCTTGAACAGGTTGTGAAATGGATCAAAAATTTTTTTTGGCATTTTTCTGCAGAAAAACGTATTTTATGAATCCGTTTTATGAAGAATTTCGAATTGGGGCAAAATTAGGTCAAAATTAAGGCAAAATCAATTTTTGAGGGAAAAATTACACATTAAACGTATTTGAAATATACGTTTTATATTTTTAATAATTTTAAAATTAATTTTTTTTAAAAAACTAATAAAAATAATCCGTTTTATAATTAATAAAATAATTTTAATTATAAAACGTATTAAAATAATACGTTTTTAATTTAATTTAATTAACTTAATTACATTAATTATGTTAATTAATTATTTTTTAGTAAAACGGATAAAATTAGTAAAAAGAGTGAAAAATCCGTTTTTGAAAGTAAAACGAATTTCTACAATCCGTGCTTTTTATTTTTTTCCACTATTTTTTTCTTTTTCTATTTTTATCCAGTGATATTTTTTTTTTAAAATAAATAAATAATTCTAGTGTAGCGGGACCGGAGTGTTAATAGCATTAAATAGCCAAAAAAGTTACAAAACACAAATTTTGACTACCTTTTGTAAAAAACATCTTTTTTAGCCATTTTAGTATATGATTTTACTACACTACCCCTAGCTCAAAATTCCTTTTCACAATTTGTTTGACCAAAAATCATTTGTTTGACCAAAAATCATTCAAAAATCATTCCAAAAATTCTTCAAAATTTTTGTTCAGCACCCCCGCTCCCGCTCCTCTGCACTTCATCTTCACCAAAAATTCATCTCTTGCATCTTCACGAGAAAATCGAACGCCTCACGAGCAAAATCGAACGAAGTCCCTTGCCGTCACGCGACCTCGCCGTCACGCCGTCTCTTCTGACCTCACGCGACCTCGCCGTCACGCCCTCTCTTCTGACCGAATGCGACCTCGCCGTCACGCCGTCTTCACGACCTCGCCGGACTCTTCAGGACCTCGCCGGAATTTGGTTTGAAATTGTTTTATTTTTTTTGTTTTAATTAGGGTTTTTTTACCTTTCTTAGAAGTCCCCTCATATGGTGATTTGCTAGCTGTTTGAGTGGTATTTGTTTTTGGACTTGTGANCTGAAAATGGTATATGGGTTTTGGAATAATGGATGGGTAATTTGGAATTTGAACTGTATATGTACCAATACAAATGAATCCATAGATAATGTTAGTGGCAGGAAGTAGAAAGCATGCATCTTCTATGTGTTTCTGTAGTCAAATACAATAACATTATAAGGATTTAAGGTGTTTTGCTGTTGTTCAAAGAGATTTGACAACCTTCGTCTGCAATGTGCATTCTTATTTACACGGCATAACCCTGTCATAATTTTTCTGCTCTGGAAACGTTTGTTTTACTGTTTGGGGTATGTCGAACTATAACTTGATGTCTAAAAGTGCTATCTAGTATCAAATGACGTTAAGTTTGGAAAATTAATGCCTAAGATTGAATGGTGTTTTGTGGGTTTTGTATATGGTGATTTGCTAGCTGTTTGAGTGGTGTTTGTTTTTGGACTGTGATTTGCTATCTTACTTAAGTCCTTCCCTTTTTATTTTTTTTCATTTTGGTGTTGCTTATTATTTTGATAGATTAAACGTGTCATGCCTGTGGTTACTAACATTCACATCAACATATGTACCCTTTTTTCTTTTATGCATATTAAATTTCTCAAGTATTTGTCTTCTTAAAGGGACCTAAGCTGTTATTTGTTTCGTTTACAATAAATGTCTTGGTTGTATCTATGTACAGCGAGAGTCAAAATCATCAGACTTCAAGGGTGTTTCAGGTGTTTTTGCTACATTGTTTAATATTTTAGCAGCTGCACTAATATTCTGATTTAACCAAAGTAGGGGAGATGTTAGAAATGGTTTGCCTTGTTGCTGAAAATTCGTTCTTGAGAAATGGAAGATAAATATAAAAGAAAATAAAACCGAGTTCTATATAATTGGATTTTTGTTCTTTCTTTCTTTTTTTATTTTCATGTTATGGATACCAAAACATATCTAGAACCATCATTAACAGAACCTTGAAAACCAAAACTACATATTGTTATGTGCACTATTCTTTTACCGGTTTGTGGCCTCGAAACCCTGTAATTATATATTGCATTAGTTTGAAAACAAGGAGAATTAAGGGATCACTTGGCAAGTATTATTTCGTTTTTTTTTTCTACAATGTTAAGAATCTTGGCAGTCTATTTAGTGACCATTGATGTTTATAGGTGTTGTCAATGAAAGAATTCGAGAAGCTCATCAAGATAAGTCTGCTCCAAAGATGATGCTTTTCCCAGGTGTTGTTTTTGCTACTATTGTCAACTTCATTAATTGAACTGGCTGACTATCACTCTACTTGTTAATTGTTTGAAGGGCAAAAACAATTATCCTTTCAAAAGATTTTATACAAATAATCGTACATTGATAGAACAGTTCACTTTTTTGTACTGTACATGAAAACTAATCGAACATCAGTAGCAAAACTAACACCTGGAAAAGCATCATCTTTGGAGCAGAACTAATCGAACATCGTACATGAAAACTAATTGAACTGGCTGACTATGTTAACTGTTTGAAGGGCAAAAACAATTGTCCTTTCAAAAGATTTTATACAAATTGTTAATCGTACATTGATAGAACATTTCACTTTTTTGTACTGTCGATCATCAGTAGGGAAATCAGTTTGCTTTATTGCTTATGCATTACTTAATTTTTGTTATGCCATGAATTTTTTTGACCGATCGATAGAAGTACTTTTCTACCCTTGGATGATCTCCTATTTTGTTCCTCTCAACAGAAGGTACAACCACCAATGGAGACTATCTTCTTCCATTCAAGAGTGGTGCATTTCTGTCAAAAGCTCCAGTTCTTCCTGTAATTTTAAGATATCCTTATCACAGATTTAGTCCCGCGTGGGCACCATATCCGGGGTCAGTTATTTTTGTGTCTGGTATTTTAATTTTAACATTCGTTTTGTAAAAAAAAAAAAAGCTATGTTAATGTTTTTAGCTGATCTGATGGTGAAAATAATTTCAGAATTTGTGAATCCGTTGAAAATAATTGAGGAACACTTCATGTTTGTATATTCAATTAAAATTTTGTTTACTTTTTAGCTGGCACTGACCTGAGATTGAGATGCACCTTCTTATGCATAAGTGGATATTTTAGGTACTGAGACACAACAATGGGAAGTTTGGTGTTGCTGGGATATGCAATGGTGGAGGAGGTGCATCTTCTCTTGTTCTTGAGCTCATCAACGATAGGTGAGATTCACAAGATGGAAAAAAGGAACATTTTTTTTTAACATCTTTTTTTTTATATATTTGTTTGCTAATTGCTCCTAATGCCCCCAATGATCACAAGGCATTCTTGTCACCATCTTTATTCTTTTTTTTTTTCCCTGTTGCTTTTGTGTGTGTTTGAATGAGTGAATGTGTTTCATTGAGACAAGGCCTTATGTTTTATGCGTTGACATGCAGGCCTGTGGGGAGGGTGGCACGGTCAATGGTATGAGGTCATTAGGTTCGTGTTGTACTGTTAATATAAAGTTGTCCGTCCAGTAACATTTGGAGATTTTTAATCAGCTTTTACTCGTTCACATTATCAAATCTCTGGAGAGCCGTTTTCCCTTGTGATAGAGTTTCTTGGTGCTGGAATGTACTGTATGTCCTTTTGTTGAGATGAGTCTTAGTATTCCGTTGTGATAAGAGTTTTTTTGTGATGAAATGTACTGTAAACATATCTATATTTTGCTCCTTTTATCTTTGTTGTGATAGAGTTTTTTTGTGATGAAATGTACAGTAAACATATATATGTTTTGCTCCTTTTGTCTTTGTAAGGGAACCCGAGACGCGCCCTTCTTTCAGTTGCGATTTCTCCATACTTCTTCTTCCTATGTACTCCGTCCTCCTTATTCTTCTTCCTTTGTACTCCTTCCGTTTTACAATATACTAGCACAATACCCGTGTACTACACGGGTACTTGTTAAAAAAATATATTTAATAATAATAATAATAATAATAAAAATAAAGTTCATCTCTGCCTGTCTATTTTTATAAATATTCTCATCCCAAAATTCGCTATGCACAATTTGAATTTTTTCACACATCTGTAAAACAAAGATGCAAAAGTATTTTACTGACAAACAATTCCCAAGAATTATTTGAGAATTAAGTAATCAATGTTTATAATAAAACAAATAAAATTTGAACTATAAATGATTTTTGGAATCACAGAAATGGTTTATACGATTTGAAAACCGTTTTGGGATATATATACTGTTTCTAGGATCCCATAAACCATGTTGGGGATTCAAAATAGACTTCTGGGACCAGAAATCGATTTCTGGCCCATAAATCGGTTTCTGGAAGTCCAGAAATTGATTTCTGTATCTTCTGGTTTCTGGGACCATAAATCGATTTCTGAGTCCAGAAATACAAGAAATCTATTTCTAGGACCAGAAATTGATTTCTGGGACCAGAAACAAGAAGATCCAGAAATCGATTTCCGAGACCAGAAATTGATTTCTGCGATTTCTGGTCGATTTCTGGAGCCAGAAATCGATTTCTGGTCTAAAAATCATTCAAGGTTCCATGAAATCACTCATGGCCACATAAATCTTTTTTTTTTTTTTTGCAATATTCATGTTATTAATTTGTGACCCATTAAAAAATAAAAAAATATAGACATACCTTTACACAATATTTCAGAGATATCACCGCAATTTTACTGAAATGTTGCCAAAATTTTGAGAATATGGAGAGAACGATTTTATTTATTTATTTAATTTTTTTGTTAAGAGAATGTTTTTTTTTATTGAGATGAGAGAATGAGTAAATGAACGAGTGAATGAAACGGATGGAGAGATATGATATTTTTGATTTTCTTTAGAAAAAAAAAATAGTAAAGGTATTTTTGTTTTTTTAGTTATTAAAATAGCTAAAAAGATGTTTTTGCCAAAACACTAAAATTTGTGTTTCACAATGCCAAAAAAAAAAGGAAATTTCATTGTTTAATTTAACCCACGTAGCTTGTGTTAAATGATTTGTCCTGCATTAGAGCATCTTTAACAATACATCTTCATAAACTTCCTTTTACACTTCCCAACACTCCACATCACTCAAAATCTCATTCTTACTCCTACACTCATAAACCTCCAATAATAATAAACTTCATAAACCTCATATTTATGGGTCCCACATATTTTCCACTTACTTTTAATTAATATTATACTCTTACATTTTTATTAATATTTTAAAAATACAACTACACTTTTTATTTTTATTCAATCTAAATATTTCATATATTTATTATAAATACATAAAAAAATAATTATAGATTTTTAAAGTTGATCAGATCAAAACATATATATAGATGCATATGAATTTATATATGTATATATAATTATATAATTTAATAATTTTTAAAAATACAACTTCATCACTTTTTATTTTATACAACTCCATTTTTTATTATAAAAATTTTATACATTTATATTTTAGACATGTTTAAAAAATAAAACTTAATTTATTTTTTTATCTATTTTGCTATTATTGAATTTATTAAATGTAAATTAACTATTTATATTTTTTAAAATTTATTAAATTATGATAAAGTTAACACCATAATTAATAAAACTGAATATATATTTGTGATAACTACATAAGTACATATACACTATTTGAACAAAATTATTTTTAGCAAAAAATTAAAATTCAATATTTATTATAATTTTTTAACGATATAAAATTTGTCAACAAATGGAAAGGAATTAAAAAACGTAAAAGAGAAGAAATAAAAGGAAAATATGAAAAAGAGTGAAGATAAAAAAAAATTATAACAAAAATTAGTTGAAAAGAAAAAAGAATAAAGAAAATAAAAAAGGGACATTACATCACACTGCACATGGACACGCAACTTTCCCTCGCCATTTTATTTTCTTTGTATTTTTTTATTTCAACTTTTAGAGGTTTAGAGGAGGTTTGTACAGTTAATACAGGTTTGTGTTATCAAACCTTAAACCTCTCCTTTCTAACAACAAAATCCATAGGTTTACATTTATAAACCTCTTCAAAACTTGCCGCTAAAGATGCTCTTACCACTTTCTTCCTGAAATTCTGCTTACGTTTCTCATTAGTCAAGAAGGAGCCCGAAAATAAGGCTTTCGCACATCTTCCTTTTCTTTTCTCCACCATTTCCCATTCTCTCTTCAGTCCTAATCTCTGAAATTCTTCGTCCAATCGTCCTCATTTTCTCCCCCATTTCCCTTCTCTCTTCAGTCCCAATCTCTGAAATTCTAGGTTGCCAGCTTTGAGCCGTCAAATGACGCACCGACCCTTATCACGGTCCGTCAATCCGTCCGATGAGCCGACTAATAGGTACCAGCGAGCTAGGGTGCAAGCTCAGCAACGGCTGTTTCGGGACACCTTCTCAAACCCTCGACCCCCTCTGCAAGCTTCTTGACGTCGCCATCTTAGTCTTCTCCCTTTTCATCGCCGTTGTGGCGCCACTCATCGACGGCCTGGCATACCTCCCGACACCCCTTTCCGCCATTTCTGTTGGACCTCAAGAGTTGGCACGCCCAGGGGTACGACGACTACCTGGTCACCGAGAAGTCGTACTTCTTCTTAGGGATTGTTTGAGTCTAGCTAATTTTTCAGTGGCCTCTCGCCGTTGCCCGCGTCTATGGAATTTCTGCCGAGAAATCTTGGCTGGGCAACGCCTGTTTGTTGTACGGGGCTTCAACTCTGACTTCCATGGTAAAGCTCTCAACTTTTTGCTTCTTTTTTACTATTATTGTTGTGATCTTAGTTTGTAGCCTCCAAACTGTTTGTTGTGATTGTACAAAATGTGGCTGAGGTTATGCTTTGTGTGTGTATGTGTGTGTCTGCAAAAGTTCATGATTTGGGAAAAACACAGTGTTGGCGTGCTCAATATTGATATCAATTTTTGTTTGTGTACATTCAGTATCGAATGATGAGCTGCTTTGATTACTAAATTTCCTTGACTAGCTCGAAAATTCTCTTAGCAGATTTATTTTTCCAATTTGTCTAAATTCATTTTAATGCTACTTCTCTATTGATTCAATTTGGTGTTCTGTATATGTGTTTGATTTTATTGTTAAATATAGTTTTAGTTTACTCATTCACGATTGTCATCTAATGCTTAGGTGTTATTTCCGTATATTAGTTGGCCAACTGCTGTTGCGACAAACGAGAAGGGGACTTTTACGAAACCTCCACCAGAATGAACCAGATATTGAGAAGAGCATTTTGGTTTTCCCCCAACATGCAGTACATTGGAGCGGCAGTGGCTCCTCTTGAAGCCTTTCAGAGACTTTATTTATAGTCCACATATTGCATAGGTCTGTTGACACTAATCAAGTTCTCGGAGCTATGAATATTTGCAAGTCCCACTGTGAGGTAAAATTCTTTTCTCAGTTTTTGTTTGGCCTTCACCTGCATGAGCCATTGTGAAGAGTCACCCTAATTNCAAAAAAAAAAAAAAAAAAAAAATCGGGTAATGCCTTTGAACCCATTGTTAAATCGTTGGTAGACATATTTTCCAACATAAATAATCTCTGGCAAAACATACATTGGTAGTTACTTGGCGATGGATTGAAGTTCTGTTGTTAATCACTTACAGTTCACTAACAGCTTAGTTAGGTATCCTGCTTGTTACATGAAATTTATTTGTTAAAAGTAAAGAGTCTAATCACTTACAGTTCATTAACAACTTAGTTAGATAACCTTCTTAGTCATTGGTAATTTGTTAAAGGAATTTTGTTGCAGTGGTACATGAATCATATTGGTTTGATATTCACATTATAAATTTTGTGTTTTGTAGTTCGACCATACAGGATTTCTCTCCTTGACCGGACCACTAAGCTCGGTGAGGGTTATGGTAGTGTTATCAAATTTCCAAGAACTGTCCTAAGAGTTCTCAAATTTGACTTATGAATAATTATTAAATTGTGCATTTTGAAATTCCCCTGTCATCAATAGTCTTTTGTTTATCATATTTTGTTGTTTCACAGGCTCTGCACATGATTTCCGTGCTTCAGGTTTGCCGGTGATGCGGCCAGGTACAAGCTTCATCTCACCAGATGTTACTACTGCGAAAAAATTATATCTAAGAAACACTCTCCTTCGCCAATACTTGACAAAATATTATCCACCACTAAAGGTATTCTTACATCTCATATTTAAATCAGTCACCGGTTATATTTTTTTTTCATTCTCCAAATTTTGAAGCTAAATCATATTTACGGATATTACTTGAGTTAGAAGCTGATCAAATGGGGAACAAAATGTCATGATTATGTATAATTATATTGTTCTTTGAAATTGAAAACCTCTTTGTAGTTTGTGAATTTTTTCAAGTTGTTCCATTATTATTCAACCTCATTGGTTATTGTATATCTCTATAAAATTATAATTCTCTTTCTCTTTTGATTTGGTAGAGAGAGAACAAGAAATTTTCGCAGAGGTCTTATGTGTAGACATTAATTTCACTTGGGAGCCTTGGTGGTCTGGCCCATGATATTCGATAGTGCTATGGAACTGATGAAAAAGATGTTCGTCTAGGACCCGAAGACACATTTAGCGGCTCACCAATTTCTATGTGATTAGTATTACTACTATCATGGAATTAGTTGGGATTTCTTTTAGTGTGTTTATTTTGGCTATTCATAATGTTTATCCTGAGGAAGTGTTCCAAATAAAATATCGCTTTCGTTATCTAAATGAATGTAATTGTTAGTACAAAACATCATTTCATAATTTTAAACCATTATTTAGGCCATCATAAAGTATGGAGTAGCTCCTGATAAGCCTCTCAAATCTGCAGTTTTGAATTGCTTGACTCAGTTCTCGGCTATGGTCAAGCTTAAGATGGATCTTAGGGTATGCAAAAAAATTACTTCATGGATGTATTTTCTCAAATTACAATGCATTATCAAGTTTCTTGAAGCTATTTAAAGCTTTACCGTGAAATTTGCAGTCATAACAAAATAGAGGAGGATTTTCTATCTTTAAGGGAATACAATGACAATTGGACGAAGTCCAGGACATGAGTAAGTATACTGCTTGTGCTATGAATGTACACACTTGCATCCCCTTGTACGTTGAAGAAAAATAAGTGTTTGCTTGCAGTAGAAAATTTAGTCGACGGAGTAGATATTCCTGCTATTGAAGCAAGGATTGTCGAGTACCAGAAAGAAAATGCAGACCAGATCATGAATGCTCAAACCAGCAAGGTCGTTGATTTCTTTGTTTCATTATGAAAAAAAATTGCTAACATATTTTTTCTACATGAGTCTACTTATTAGTGTTATTAGTTGTTTTTATGAGCTCTTAATCTGCTATGTTTGTGATTGAATAGGCTGAAGAATATGCAGCTGCTTTGGCAGCAAGCAGGACATTTATTTAATTTGTCTTTGACCTCATGTGTTTGATTAATGGTTGCATAGTTTCTTCTTATTCATTTTGGCCAGTCACTCTGATGTGGATGTGGCAACGAGGCTCTTGGATCAATGTTCTTACGAGGCATTAGTAAATTTTAAACTAGGTTATTCTGGAAAATTTTCAAATCTCCTTCAAGATCAAGATCCCCAAAACCCTCTGTAAGTTCAATCCTTGAATTTGATCAGCCGGCGCTCAATCAAATTTTAAACTCATTATTGCTTTTTATAAGTTAATACTGAAGACACCATTTAATTAGGTAGACTATAAAAGGTACTTGTTTAAGCAAAACATCCAAATATTATTGATGTGGGTCCAGAATCTCGGTGCATTATATTTTGCCTCTTTTTTTTAAGTTGACAAATTTTAGTACCCGAAATGTGAGAATAAGAACCCAAAAAGACACAGTCCGAGCCAGAGCAGGAGCCAAAGCAAGTGCCCGAGCCAGAGTAGAAGCAGACGCCTTTAAAGGTTTCTCTTTCTTTTTCTGCCTTTTGCATATGAACGTTTGATTTTTAGTTTCTTTATCTTGAGCGAACATCTTTCTTGATTTCATTTTGACCGGTGAAAAATGGTGCCGACTAAGATCACGCAACCGGATTTCACTGTCAACAAGGGGAGAAACTATATTCTGCTACTAGAGCGCTATTCAAATTATTGAACAATTCTGGTTTTATATTGTGTATGAATATATTTATCATTTGTCTTGAAGTTTTTTTCTAAAGATTTGTGGAAACGTTTTTTAGCAACTTAAAAACTTGAAGTGTTGTTAACTTTATCATGTACTGATCATCTGTGAGATCAGACAACTCCAATGATTCTGCTAGCATGTAGACATTCCATATGCTATGAGTAATATATTTATTGTTTGGTAATAGACATATTAGCTTCTTAACTCCAAACAGATAACACCCAAATCCAAGAAGCAGAGAAAATTGGATTAGTGGCAAAGATAGAACTATTACCATCCCCATTTATATTCTGCCTTATTTAGCTTGAGATTAAGACACTTTTGCGGCGTATGCTTTGAGCATGCGCAGTGGAGAGATTCAGGGGAACAATGGTGATTTGATAAATTTGTTGTTTGTTTAATGGGGAAAGAGTAGGGACTGTGATTATAATCTGCGCAAGTGCTTTTATTTTATTAACAGAGAAGTTTGGAAATTTGGAAAGGGAGTATAACGTTGAAGTTTTACTACATTAATTTTGTTGTGGCCATTAGATTTTTTAATGTTGTCTTGCTGTGAAATTTTAGGGGAAAATGGTCCTTTCTCTCTCTCTCTCTCTCTCTCTCTTGATGCTTTTGGAATTTAGATAGGTTGTTATCATATTGAGCAATTGGTTTTATAAAACTTTCTTTTTTTCCTCTCTCTTGCTACCTACTGATTTTACATGGGTTGGGGGCCTTGGGGCCGTTGGGCTTAATATTGGGCATTCAATGTTAACTTATATTTAAACTGTATCAACTTTAATATTTTTTTTTGAATAAATATCAACTTTAATATTAATCATATACATTCATAATTATTCGAGATAGTATAAGAAAGCAGCTCTTCTCTTGAGTGGCAAGAACTCAAACTCACATCATTTCAGGTTTGGTTTCCTGCGTAGCATATTTTATCCTTGATGAACTATTTTTATAAAGTTAACTTTATTAGACATTTCTTGATTTCTTCTCATTCTTTGTAGTTAATGAAATTGATGAAAATCAAAGCACAACTTCCAACAATAAGTGAGAAAATGGAAATGTAACTTGAGCAAGGTTAGTTGCTATGAGTTGG